TAGGACCAAATGTAAAATTAAAATTAAGACAGAGTGTTACGTTTATGACAACGATAAAAGCATACAGATAACATTTACATTTATTTTACTGATATGAAAAGGAATTATTGTAGATGCATCTGGTTTGAAGCTGAAGGGAACGAGCAAACATCTCTGTACATAAACTAGGTTCGAGAGTTTTGATTGTTATGATTTCCGTTAGGCTTACCAATTGAAGATACACAGACTTAGGGAATCGTGATGACACTTGGTAAAGAGTGGTAAATATTGAGGTTCTGTCAGTCTTATGCTTCAATATCTAACAGACAGATGAGTATTGATGAATTTCACTGTTCTTTTGCCTCATCACATTGTAGGCTGGTTAGTAAAGTGATGATTGGTCTGCTTTCAGTTATATTTTTGTTTGATGTTTACCTTATCATGCTAACATTATAACCAAATATTGTCCTACCTCGAATTTCCACTATAGTTCTACGGATAAACTAAAATATTTCGATTATATAATGTGATCTACTGAATACCAATAACTGTATCAATTTGAAGAGCATTTGTGATTGTCACGAATGGTTTGTGACTAGGCATTCGACTTGACATACCTAGTAAGAAACCGCAAAACGCTAATTTGATGAGTCTGATAGCCAAATCATAGTGATCTATGCATCAGACAACTGTTCACATCATTTACTGTTGAATTCATCAACAATTTACTCCAAAAAAGTAACCCCAAAGAGAATCTGAATGAAATAGATCAACCAAATGAGGGTGGTTAATTAACTCATGTAAGTTCATTGTATTGGTACCATGCAAATCAGCAGGAAACTGGTTATATTTTGATGTCCAAACAATATGGGTTTCAAAATTATTAAATAACTAAATACTATTTCATTCAGTGTATGAGTATACAGACTTATTCATCAAGCCAATTTTTAAAGAAGAGAAGATGGAAACTGAATTCATGACGATAATTATACAGAATTGATAAAAGTATAAAATAAAGGGGAACAGGTCTCCTCTCCATGGATTGCGCAATTGACATCATGTAGACTGAAGAATTAGGATAAGTGGTCACGTGTTACCAGTAGAGAACTTCGTAAGAATATCGACCGAGAATAGTAGAAGCACTGATAGTATTACATAAACGGAGCAAAGGTTCATTTAATTCATTAGATGATAAGTTAGCTTGAATATAGACGGTAATTTAACCTGATTCTCATGAGTAACTTTTTGAAAATGTCACTTTGTTACTTGACCTCTTTCACTTAAGTTATTCTCACCAAGAATTACTTATCAATTTACCATTTTAGTTCAATTTAACACTCATAATCGCCTTGATCGAACTGAATCGCTTAAGGTGTACTACTGATAACTGTTGCCTCAAACGATGGTGGCTTATGATTTACCGCGTGAAATAATTATACTGGGATTTCATTTTTAGGTCAAGGCAATATTGAACTACAGACGATCTAATTAGAGAAAATATCAAAATGTTGCTTATCATACTAAATTAGCTATGTATTCACATTGGCGGACCATAACTCAGTTTTTCTATTTTCTTTTATCAGATATCAGTCTTCTGATACCAGTTGGAGGAACATTGGAAACTTGAGAGCACTAAACATCTGTTTCGTTCTAGTATTGGACTCCTCAGCAATGTGTCTCATGACCTCACCCACCAGAGATCGAACCCAGGACCTTCAGGCTCTGTGGCCATGACGTTGCCATTGAGACACTGGGTAAGAATCCAATGGTCCTGTGGTTCGAGAGGTGATTCCTGAAGTTCCAGTTAGAAGTCGTGATCGATCGGGCAAACCTGGTAGACGTGAGGATAAATACTCAACAATGACATTCGGTGATGGTTTTTCTATTTTGTGAAGTGACAGAACATAAAAATATGGACTATTGGACTCCAATCCAATGAACCAATGGTAACGTTCTGGCCAAGGAACCTGAAAATTGTGTGTTAGATCCCTGTTGGGGCAAAGTCATGGGTGCGCGTTGCTGAGGAGTCCCATACTAGGAAGAAACAGGTTTCCAGTTTTTCTCTAACTGATGTAATTCCGTAATGAATACCAACTTGAAATCGATAAACTCTCTATAGTAAGTAATTTCTGAATCATTAGCCTATGTTGTATTAAATAAGATTCCATGTTATTATGCATACCCATACTGGACGATGATATGAAAATGATGCCAATTACCATAATAAAAATTTACTTATCAGCTGATTCCATGCTTTATTGACCTGGCCACATAGTTCAATAGAAAATCATATAGAATTCTATATGTTTTTAAAGTGAATCAGTGTCCGAAGTTGATTGGCCAGTTGATAGCCTTGAGCCTGGAGTTAATGTTGCAGAAATAGCCTATTCCGTAAATGTAATAAAGTTCTTTTTAGAAATTGATTAATTTTTAAGATGTAACAAATACAGATCGATATCAATGGGAGAATCATTGAGGAGTTAAGAGTATCAGGTGATTGCTTGGTTCTATTTTGAGATTCTTCAACTGAGCATAACCATGACCCCCCATAAACTGGAACTTAGGGCTTTCATATATCATGCCTTGCAGATTACCTCTATGGGACGCACTCAATGACACACATTTTTAAAATTCTTTCAGTTAATGAAATGTTTTGGCCATCATAGTCGAATATAAGTGGAGGCTACGTTTGCCAAAGTACAGAAAGCTTGTGAACTTTGATATGTATGGTTAACATTTTCTCATGTTAGAATAACCAGCTTTTTCCCTTAGTTCAAGGAAGTTTATTGAAAGGCTATTCCGTGACTGACCTGAAGAGCAAAGAATCGATCCATAGAGATTTCACTATTTCATTTAAATATATTATTGGTAATTTGTTAAGCGACATCCAATCAATCATCAAAAGTTGAAATACTTTTATTCTGTCAGTATGTTAGAGACAATAAATAACAAAAGATAACTGAAAGCTTAATATAGGAGTAAAACTTGGGTACTGTACTAGAATGTTATTTCATTTTCCTTTATTTATTAGAAATTTCACACAGTCAAGGAACAGTATCATTTACTAGATAATGTCTTGGATACAATTTATTGTCCATATTTATACCACAACTTAGAGACAGAGTTTATATAGTCCTAATTTTCTCTTCTTTATAAATAAATTGATAAGAAATAGAAAGCAAAATATTAGCAGTAGTAGTAGTAGTAATATATGTGTTATTATTAATAATTCTAAAACTATTATTAACAATGGTAATTGGGTTGAGAGGGAATTCAAAGCCTCTGCTGTGTTACCGTAGAGGGATGGCACCTCAGAAGTTTTACGAAGAATTCTCAATAAAGCTAACTGGGATTAAATTTGCATTTAAATCAACAAACTTTCTCAGAAACAAGTTTTGTAGGTTTCAATATCCTACTGATGTAATTAAGCAAAATAATCTAGTTTACCAAGTCCCTTCCAACGATTGCGAAGTCAAATACATAGGTCAAATGAGTCTACCAGGCTCGATCAGAATAACAGAGCACAAAAACTTACCTAAATGAACACTAATAGATCCTAATAAGATAAGAAATTTAGAGAAAATTTCGAATATAGCTCTGCACGTAATTAGACACCATCACACAATAGGGTAGGATAGACCGACAGCGTTAAAAACTAATTGAGTGGAGGAAGGGAGAGATTGGTAACCGAATCTTTGTTTATCGAATCAACATAAAATACATGCAGCAATCGAAATGATTCTTCAACTGTGCTAGATATATGGAAAATTCAACTACCCTTGTCATCAAAGAGAAGGAGAGGAGATTAGAACCATATCAATTCTGTCTCGAAGTTATGGAGTTGGCTTCCTGATATTAATATGGACAATAAATTGTGTCCGAAAGGTTATCCTGTAAATGGTACTGTTTCATTGTGTGATATTTCTAATAAACAGACTAAAATGGAATCACAATCGAAAGTAAAGTCACCGGTTGGTTAAGCTTTATTCCAAACTCTACATGTAAATTATTATTCAACTGGAAATTGGCATAAATCAGTTAACCTCTACGCGATAGCCTCAGTTAGCATGTTGTGCTTATTATCCTCGAAAGTCGAATGAAGTTAGCAAGAAAAGTAGTAAACACTGAATGTTTGTTCGCATCCTACAACAGCGTAAGTGGTTTCAACTCCAGTTACTTCGCATACATATGATCTCAAATAATGCTAGTCCATTAGATGTCTTAATCTTGTTCGGTTTTAAATTATTATTGTTGTTCGGTGGTACACACCATAATAGAATCCATGAAAAGGTTATAATTTGTTTGTTTTGCTGTACAGAGACGAATTGCCAGAAGTCTGTTCGGAGATGGGCTCCTATGCAAATGCCTCGATACTGACGGATATTCATGGTGTCATATACATCATGGCGACTAGCTCATAGGTCAATCTAATGATTGAGTTTATCTTAGCTAGTCCAAACAAATGCGAAAAGACTAAAACTACTTGCAACTGTTTTTTAGACCTTAAGACATGGTTGAACAGTTGAAATGATAAAGTATGAACAAGTGTCTATCTCTCAGGCATATAACGACTGGGTACAATGCAAAGAAATCCAATCATTACTGAAAACCCTTTTTCTATTTTAGTCTTAGTATATTGGTCAACAAAGAAGTAAGTAAGAGACTATCAGCATCAGACATGTCACAAAATAGATATATTAACTGTAAATATCATAATGATAATAATCTTATACATAAATTAGACAACTTGGGATCAGGGTGGAAATCGAACTCTGATTTCATAGTTAATTAGTTTAATCACTTGAAGGCTGTCGATAGAATGTTCCGTTTTACTTTTCTTTCTCTCTCAGACTCATATCTATTTGAAACAATTCTACAATCAGAAAAAGTTCTCACTAGTGTATTCACTCCACAAGTGACATTCAACTAGAGAGTAATCAGCAAAGTAGGTAAATATCATGGGAAGTTATTTATCTACTTATTTATTTATTCTTATTTTTATTCAATAATATCAAACTTACGTCATCAATTCATAAGGTATGGTGAGACACATTTCTCTTGGCAATAATTCTGCTCTTGAACAATAATGAACTCTCACATAATCCATCATGATAATGATAATAATATTATGACAAAGAGAATTGATAGAAATACTTTCGAAATTAATTAGTTTTAAATGAGTGCATGTGTTCAATATTCCAATAGTTTATATTCAATGTACAATGAATGAATTGAAGTAGTCAATTTTATGACAAGAGAATAAATACAAATACTTAACTAGTTGAAATGATAGCCTATTCCTATTTGACTATTGACTACTTAAAGGAAGCAAATGAATGAGTGAGTATGTTGTGTGCTTATGTGGCATAAAAGTGTAAGACAGAAATGGAGAGAAATACTGAACAGCTAGTGAAAAAAAATTTAGAAAAACAAATCAGCTTTCTCACTAGTAGTTACACAATGCATTACACTTTCGTTCTCTCTTAAAACATATGATAATAGAATGTCTGTGTGTGTATGTATGTGTGACAGGGGTGGGTGTACGCGGGGTAGGAATAGAGGTGTCATATTATATATATATATATATATATATATATATATATATATATATATATATATATCATTAAAACTGCCTTACTCTACTCAGTGGATGACTCAAAGCAAATACCACTTAGATGAATTTTTATTTTGAAAACAGTTAGTTTCCTTTGTAAACACTGACAATAATGTATTTGTGCAACACATTTCGAGCTGTCTGATCATACACACACACACGCGTACCTATCATAGGTATTTATATCAGAATCTTATAAAGTGGTAAAGGAATGAGAATAAGAAAAGAGGTCAAGTAGGAAAAACAGTAGAACCAACTAAGCAAGAACCTATCGCCCAACAAATATGCAGGAAAAAATGGAGATGGATTGGGCATACACTGAGAAGGTCGACTGGGGACATCACGCGCCAGGCCACGTACTAGAGTGGAACCCCGATGGGAAGCGACGATTTGAGCGCCCGAGGTTGACATGGAGGAGATCATGAGAGGAGGAAATGACAGCTTGTGGGCAGTGGTGGAGCCAGGTTCAAAAGATTTTAGAGAACAGAGCGCATCGGAGACGTGCTACTGAATCCCTGTGTTCCATTAGGAACCCAATGCACAAATAATATAACAATAATAAGGATGAGAATAAAAGTTATCCTCAGGTGTTATAGCATTCTATCTAAAAATGTTTATTTCCTCTGTTGTCTATGCATATATTCTGAAGCGAAAACTGCACTCATAAGTCCTTTTAGGTGTAATTCGAAGCTTCAACTAACTCACTGTGATCTACAAGCATCATTCATCTTGAATAACTATGCTTACTTTCCACCTAAGATGTGGAAGTGCAGCTAACACTTTGTATATGAATAAACGGTTTGAAACAGGATTTAATGACAGATGGGATTGTAAAAACTAAGCAAATAGGTAACATATTCATGCAGGACACAGAAAATGCTCGTATTTTCACAAACAACCCTACAATCTATGGTTAGCACGACAACACTTGGGGATGACTTTAAGCCTCGCCCCTAGAGGGGCCTTGGAAAATTCAAAGTTTCTGTACTATGTCTCAAAGATATGTTTCGCAATCGAAGAACTTGGACGTCTGCTATCAACGTCTATAAATTCATATGAATCAATTTTACAATGTGCTTGCATAGATCTATGAGTCCTCCTTAAGTATGTGTCACCACATGTATATTTGAATTAGTGGATGTAATGTGATGTGAGATTGTCGTTCACATACTATAAGAGTATACTGGCTTTGCGGTTTCTATTAATCAAACCCTACCTGCATAGTAAGTCTTTCTAATAGCAGCATTAGGTCTCAGCTTAAGGGATACATTATCAGACACTTATCAGGATATCTTTCTTCAGGACAAAGTGGAAAGCAGGTTTCGGCGCTCTGGTTACTTTCAAAAGGCTAATAAATTCTGATGGATAGTTATTTTTAACAGTGCTTTGTTCAGTATTCCTACTTCATCTCTGAAGTACCAGGTCTGCGTATTCGTTGAATGCTGTTGAATATGATAGTTCAAATACAGTCCTATCCATGTGGGTTTTCTGCAGACAGACCATTTTGTGTATCCATCTTGCCGTCAACAAATTCAAATGTCCTTAGGTCCCATTTAAAAACCGTGTTGGGGAAGGATCGTTAAATTTCTTGAGGCCTTTCTAGCTATTAGAAAGTTTAAATCACGTTTGTGTGTTCAGAAACAGTTTACTGTCATCATTAAATCTTGCCTGGTGAATTCAACGTCGATGTACTACTATTTTCCTACCAGACCTCTTTTCTTATTCTCATTCCTTACCTCTTTATAAGATTCTCATATAAATACCTATGATAGGTACGTGTGTGTGTATAATCAGATTGTTCGAAATGTGCTGCGCAAATACATTACACGTTTCAGACAATTTTGCGTCTTTTTTCTTGTTAATATTCATTATCGACTGGTATCACTTACAGAACCATTGGAGGCCTGTGGACAACTGAGACAGGTGTTTCGTCCTAGTATGGGATTCCTAAACAGTAGGCCTCCACGACCCGGCTAGCGATCAGACACGCGACCTGCAGGTCTCGCAGCCATGACGTCATCATTGAGCCACTGCGTTGGCATCCAGCTGTCCATATTTCCTAATTCTGTCAGTTCATGACAAAGGGCAACGTCTATCCAATGCGGTCGGATGTGTCCAATCCAAAACAAACTATCTCCACTTCCTTCTGCATATTTGTTGGGCAATGGGTTCTCTATTGGTTGGTTCGTTGCCACAGTGAGTCCCTTGTTACTTATTCTTATCATTCCAGCCATCCATTTGATCTCGAGTGTCGGGAGAGCGTAGGTGGCAGTTGTTGATATGTGTATGTAGTTTATTACAAATGCTTTTCGCAACATGCCAAGCGTCTCAACCATCATATAGAAGCACTAACTTGACTAACATTACTATTGAAAGTTCGGGTCTTGTTCACGCTTTAAGCTGAGTGCAGTGCAGTGCAGTAGATATCCACACCGATTTCAGATTACTGAAGGAAGATCTGTCTTACTGCCCTTCCGGTCTTGGTTTTGACATCCTCATCTGTACCTTTGCGGCTGCCTTTATTTGCAACGATGCTGCTTAGGTAGGTGAAAGAGACAACTTCCTTTAGATTTCTCTTGTCGGTGATGATTAGTGCTTGTGGTTGTTGGTTGGGTATCTTTGTCACCTTTGTCTTCTCTACGTCCATGTTACGCAAGTCCGATCTTCCTTCACTGTCCTGCCTTTTCTGCCAACTTGTTGGTTTTTGCCCGTAGACCTTCGAGTTTATGAGACATAAGAAAGACATAAATTACCATGGGCGAAATCCGAATCTTCTTTTAGGGTCCTTTTATCGGTCAAACAGCGTACGCCCATCTCACTCCTCACAATTTGTTGCATGATCTAGTCCAGTGGAGTCGACTACTATGAGGAAGATCATAGGTGATAGTGGGTGGTGACCTTGTCTTACTCCTTTTATCACTTCACTTTAAAGGCATCAATTAGCTTTCCATTGCTTTGTGAATCACTTGGCATATAGCATCCTCCCATAGCATGTAGCCGTTGAATGACATTGTTAAAGGTTGTGGCACTCTGCCAAGTAATATTACTAAGAATGATCAAGTCAACAACTTTGTTATGCTATCTCGAAGTTTGTGGAGGTTTAATAATCGACTTTAGGTTGGAATTCATTATAGGAAGACATGAATTGGAGGAACATTGGGAACCTTAGAGTACTGGACATCTGTTTTCTCCTAATATGTGACACGTTAGCATTGTGCGCCCGTGACCCCACTCTCCAGGGACTGAATACAGGATCTTCTGTCCTAGTGACAAGCACGTTACCATTGAGCCACCGGGTCAGGATCCAATCGTCCACATTTCCTACTTCTGTTCCGTGCTTCAAGGTTTCCAATATTTTTCCAACTGGTGTCGGTCCACGATAAATTTCAACCTTAAATCAACTAATAAACCCTTACAAACCTCCAGATAGAATTAATCTAGCGCTCATTAGTGACTTCAGTAGCTCCGAGAGGTGATTTTTGAAGCTCAAATGAAAAGTCATGACTAGTGAAGTCAGCCAAGTCAAACATGAGGACAGTTACTCAAAGGTGACTGTGAATGTAGGTCACGCTATGCCATGAAGTGACAGAAGTGGGGAATATGAACCACTGGATTTTGACCCAGTGGTTCAATGGTGACGTGCTGGCCACGAAATTCGGAGGTACTGGACTCGATCCCTGGTGTGGGAGGTCATGGGTGCGCACTGCTGACGAGTCCCACACTATTAGGAGACAGCTGTCCAGTGCTTCCATGTTTCTAATATACCTCCAACTGATCTCGGTCCATGATGAATTCCAACCAGAAGTTTCGCAAAACAATAGTAATTTCTAGGGAATCGACTGTTTTGAAAGTCATAAATTGGTGATTTGTACAGATTGATTTTTAGATACAGGAAGATTTGAACTGTTGGATTCTGACCTAATTGCTGAATAGTAAGTTGTTCACTGCAACACCTGACGGCCATTGTCTCGATCACTTGTGGAGTCATGAATATGCACTGCTGAGGAGCCCTGTACTATGATGAAACACCCCGCGGATGCCCATACTTTTCTAAAGTTTCTCCAAATGATATCAGTCCGTCATTAATATTATCTGAAATGAATTTATTTCAGAGTAATATAAGCTAGAGAAGCATTGAAAACCATGGGGAAATGGACAATCGTTTTATTTTAGTTTGGAAATTCTAAGCAGTTTGTAGCTGCAGTTGGCACTTTACCATTCCATTGTCGGTTATAAATGTAGAACAAAACATTTGAGTTTCTATAAAAACTGAAGTCAATCTTCGTGTTTATTTTTATCCATTTTCTTGGAAAACTGAACTATTTTTACCACAGAATATAATCTCTTTCATCTGCGTTATAGTTAACCTGACTGTAGTTACCGTCTTCCTCATAGCCACAATACGATTGTACCTATTTCTACCTTTCTTGTCTAATAATCAACCAGGACAACTTTAATATTATCCGTAACTCTCGAATACAGTTCGTTTTTACTAGTGATGATGATTTCTGAGTTGAAGACTAGGCATAGTTGTGTGCTTTGAGATGCAATCATTTTGATATATCTTCACATAAAAAGTATGTAGGTATTTCATATAAGGGAAGTAATAGACAGTTAGGGTAAGATAAAATCTATCCCAGGAGTCATGAAGTGACAGTAATCCAAAAGGGGAA